AAGCAACACAGACTCTCTGTGCAGAATTTGCTCTTGATTCTCAAACAAGGATTACCTGTGTTCTCAGCAGATTTAGTGTTCTTGTTTCACCTTGTATAAATCCTAGAGCAATCAGAAACCTTTTATCCATCACAGAACTGCAATTCATTTTCCTGATAAAATATATTATGCATCTCTCAGACTTCGTATACACAAATATCTAATATTTATTTTAAACTAACTGGGTGAGCACTCGTTAGAAACGTCAGAGCAATTCCCATGGAACTGGCCACATCAATTGCATTCTTGAACCCAAACTGTCTGAAATCATACTTTATGCCTAAGACAAAGTCTGGTCTTCCTCTGTTATTTTGTTATTAGAGGGAAATTAAGGAAGATTCAGCCGTGAGGCTCAAGAGGAATTAAAAGACATTATCAATTTGTGAAGCAGCAGTTACCTCCCTCCTTTTGGGATGACCACCACTAAGTCAAAAGTAGACAGAAGAGAGAACTCAGGAAAGGGCAAAAAGGCCTGCAAGGCCTGATTTATCCGAGAAGTTAACAAGAGCTTGACTCTTGTGACCTGTAGCTGGTAAACCAGATAAAAGTAGCCTAATTCTTTACAATAACATTCTTTACAAGACAGTGGTAAATTCTAAAGTAATGAGTAACTTATTTAGGGTGGCACAGAATGGTATAGGTAGGAGTCACTGGCAATCACCTCAGAAATGCCAGGAGTTTGTGGACATGGGAACCAAAATATTCTCTTCTTCTCAGAGTTAAACTTTCAGGGCATAATGTAGGCAAGAACGTGGTAAAATTATGTATGGAAGTTTGACCTCATATCAGCTGTGTTGTTTCTGCTCAGTCATAACATACAGGAGGACACAGGTGACTATCACACACCACTTGGTAAGCGAGAGGTGTTACCATGGCTCCTGCACTAGGCCCCTCTACACAGCTTCACACAGAAAGAAGCCCTTCTAGACGGCATAGACACAGCTGTCACCCAAACGCCTGAGGTCACACTACTTCATATGCTGAGGAACAAAAATCTGAGAAGGACACAGCCCTCTCCAGTCCTGCACCAGGTCAAAGAACACTAACATTCGCTTAAGAACAACAGTAACATGACATGAACATGGTTGAAAAAAATGGTACGTGAAATGGCAATTAGAACAGAACCCTTATTGTTCAGACAGGCTGAGTGCCTGGAAAAGAAATGTAAAGTATTTTGTTTGAACTCTGTCCTTGGTTACAATGCCACCTGGACAAAAGTTTAGCTAACTTAAACAGACTGAAGAAACATCTGTATTCTGTTGCAGTACATCCAGAACACGGCAACAGCACCACCCAGTGGATTAATAGCGATTGCTCTGTAAAGTCACAAGGTGCCTTCCCGAGCCTCAGATCAACCGTTCTAAAAAGAAACGCAAATAATTTGCATATATATTATTAAACTTGACTAATGAGTATCAGGGTATAAACTAGAAGTTAATAAACTACCTTACTTTTACATCAGGGTAACTGAGACTATAAATTGGCTTGCTAAACTCATGTACATGGCATGCCCTCTACTCATTTCACATACATAATTGCTTTTAGCATCAGCAAGTGAGGTTACACGTGCTGAATTCAGAACAGATGCTTTACACTGCACGAAAATGGGAACCTGACTCTCTGGGTCACATCTTACGTTTACACCTGTAGTTTTCATTAGTGGCAGCTGTAGCAGAATGCATGAGAAGCAGTTCAAAGTTCTGGAGGAAATGAGAAAATTTAAATACTTGAGCCAATCTTCACCTGAACTCCCTGGGCCTGCAAAACTGGGCTAGAATGAGATTTGCTTCCTGCTCTGGCAAGAAATCAGGGATTAGGCCTGGAGATGAAAATGCAACCACATGAGAAACTACGTCTCCTGTGCAGACTATCGTGCACATTGGACACCTCAGGCCTGACAGCCAGCTGGCTGGACTCAATATTGAGTTGGGTTGCAGATATGCCCTGGTTTCAGCTCCGATAGAGTTATTTTCTTTCTAGAAATAAACCACAACATTAGATCAGCCAGTAATCACCCCCTGATGGAGCCCAGTGGAATGTAAGAAGTATTTTCTACTTCCCCATCTCTTGCTACAGCAGCTTCAAGTGGTGAGTCCATCAGAAATGAGTGCAGGGCTATATGCTGGCATGCTGCAGTCTCAGTGAACCCCATGGGGCCTTTTGCTCAAAGAAAGAAAAGGTAGCTGCAGGTGTTATAAGGCTGTCCTTTCGCAGATAAAGTTTACCACTTGTGCCATGCATAACTCAAGTTCATAAAGCTTAATTACCTTGATAATCCAGTTCCAAAATAAGGGTTCTTCTGTGCCTAGAGATTCTGTCTGTCACATTCAGGGTACAGGTGTATGCCATTGGAGGTGCACTGGTCACTGATTTGAGGTTCCAAGATCACAGATAAAAATTATAGCAAGAGAAATCCATTGTAGCACTAGGTCATACATGGCATATTAATTTCTGCTCATAATTTAGAAGGAAATAGGCAAAAAGAAAACATAAAACCCCAAACCATGTTCAATTCTAGTTTCATTTTGGAGTGGGCCCCTCCTCTATTACAGCTTGTTTATGCGTCTTTAATACAAAAATAAAATTACACTAGCTGTCACACTCCATTAGCATCTTTTCTGAGGTGATATATCTACAAGCTTGGGCATTATACCATAGAGGCAAAACTCCCTTGCTTTGACAGAGGATATGTGCAGACAATGGACAACTCTCATCAAGGTTAGTGTCTGAGCCAATTTTTGTCAAAGGATTTATTATTATTTGCTTTACTCTGCAGTTTGGGGTGAAATTTCCTCAGAATTTTTCTATTTCAGAACAACTAAGAGCCATGAAGGGCTGTGGGGATAAATACCTAGCAGGCAGAAAACGAAACAGTAGAAATTTTTTGCCATTAGCTAAGCAGGTTGTTCTGCTCCCTGTCCTATTTACTGTTTTCCCAAGGTAAATACAAAGCTCACTTTCACCTCTCAAGAAAACCTGTTAGCAGCATCTTTTACATAGCAATACAGTGAGTTTTTCCTGTCTTTGAGATGCACTACTGCACAAAGGCTGTGCATATCTTTGCCTGTGATGCACTTTACCAGAGCCTCCACCTCCTTATGAGAAAATCCTCATTTAACCAAGAAAAGCGAAGCCAGTCATGCCATCGGCTGTAAAAAAAAAAAAAAAAAAAAAAAACCACCAAAAAAAAAAAAAAAAAAAGATTATAGCAATTACAACCTACCCGCTCCCTTTAGTCACCCTAATGTGACTTCCTCTCATCTATCTCCTTAATCAGAAACACCCCTGTGCTGCTTTACTGGAGTTCCCAAAACCCCAGTAAAACCCTCACTGCTGCCAAGGGAGCTCTTTGAGTGGATACATTATTTTGAGGCCAGGACAAGCTCTGTTACCTTATTTGTTCAGTAATTTTGTAAACTAATTTGTTAAATTAGTAAATTACTAATTCCTCGGGTGGGCCTTTCCCTCGCACACAGAGATGCCCCGGTTCTGTTTGCGGCACCACAGGAACGGAGCCGGCGCTCACGGAGCCGGTCGCGGAGGGGAAGACTGCAGCTGCCCCCCGGAACGCCTTCAGATGCGGGGCAGGTACAAGCAGCCAACCCCTTCTGATCTCCCCTTTCCTGTTAGCGCAGGCTGTACCCCTGTTAGGAAAAGGATGCAAGCGCTACTCCCTCCTCACAGCTCACCTGCCGCCATCTTGACGCCGCGAGATGAGGGGACGCCGCCGCCCTGTGGCAGAAGCGCGCTGAGGGCACTAGGAGACGCTGCGGCTTGGTGGCTGATGAGGCCCGTTTTTGTGTCTGGAATTGTATTTTGGTAATTAAGCTGAATGAAAATAATGATCTTTCTTGGAGTGACGCCTGTCCTGCTTTAATGGTCTGAAGGCAGCAGTGAGATTTCCAGGGCAGGTGGGTTGAGGAAGGCAGCATATCCACTACAAGTGCTGGTATCCAGCACGGCAAGGTACCAGTTTCTGAGCTTCTCCAGGTTATTTTATAGATACCTTTTGAACTTCCACCTGTTCTAAGGATCAAGAAGAAAATTCCACAAATTAAGTTAGTCTGTTTTCTTCCTCCTGCCATGAAACAAGCTCGGTTTATATTTGTGCAGATTTGTTGTATTACAGCAATGTGCTGTTAGCTGTGGGGAGATCTGTAAAGTACAATGAGGGAGAAGGTGTCTCCTGCGCTCCTGAGATAAATGTATTTTTTTTAATGGAGCTTCTTCACATAGATAAACGTTTGTTAACCTGGCTAACTGTAATTAGTCTAAGTGCAGTGGCTAGTTGTTCTTAGGTATCTAAGGAAGGAGAGCTAGTAAGTCAGTGAAACCCATCTTCTCTCTGTATCAGACTTTTATTCCAGAACATTTTAGACTGTATGTTATATATGTATGCAGAAGCCATGTGGCCAAGGAAACATCAGCCCAGTGAACATTCACAGTAAGGACTTGGACATCATCTGAGCTACAGACTTAGCAAATTATAAATTCTGAAATTAATATTGCTATTAGAGTTTGGGAATACTTAGCCATTAGCAAAACATCTGTTGTGCTACTTAACAAACACCTGCAAATACAAGACAGACCAGAAAAGAATTTCATGTTAGTGTGCCTTACAATGCCTGGGCTAGAAAACTTATGCAGGCTGCACAAAGATCAGTTTCAGTGAATGACACAACCAAGCCATCTTGAAAACTCATCTGTAATTTCCTATTCATATCCCTTTTCCTTTATCTTGCCGTACTGTTCAAGTTCCACACTTGCTTTTAGTATCGTAACCTTGAGTGTATCTTATGCAACTTCCCACACAAGCGTTTCTTTACAGCTGCTAATTAAAGATCCCTCTGAATAAAGACTTCTGCTTCAACAGTTAGAGTGCCCCTTTGAAATGCCCCTTTTGTGGACCACAGTCTTCTTAAGGACCACAACAAAGACAAGGCAGTGCAGAGAAAAATGCTCCGTTTTGTGACCACTTTGCTTGTCTCTGTCTCAGATAAGGGAAGAGAGTACATTAGCACTTCTCAGTTTCCAAGTGTAACCCTCTGGTGGAGTAAATTGAGCTGTCAGGGAGTAAAACTACAGCACACCCTCACCACAGCCTTTAGCAACAAATAGACTATAAAGAGTGTTCCCAGGAGGTGCTAGCTGGTTAGGGGTGAGGTAGAACTCAGGTGACTGAGCCTATTAATTCCCATGTTCCCAGACCACAACATCCTGAAGTACTAGCATTTCTATTACACATTTTTAAGAAACAGGACGAGAGTGATCCCCACATTGGTAAATTGTAAATCAAATACCGTTAAGGTTATTTTGTGGGGGGGGCGGGGGGGGGAGGGAAACAACAACAACAAAAACATGCAAAAAGAAAAAAAATTAATCCATGTGTTTTGAGTCTTGATAACAATGTCTTGATAACTGTTTCTTGTCCTGCCTATGCTTAAAACTTTCCCATCTGCCTAGATACCCTAGCATGTGAATATATGCACAGGTAGCAGAGGCCACACACATCTGAGTGCATGTGCTGGTGACCACAGAGCTGCTGTATTTTCTCCCTGAATTAACTGCTCTTGAAAACAGTACTACAGAAGTGTACAGTGGAAGACTATACTGAAAGACTGCTGAAATCCAAGGCCTACATCTATAGGGTTGTACGGATCAATACTTTATGCTTCTGTCAGCAGTGTCATAGAAACAAGTTGCCCTGGAGATACCCCAGCTTCTCTGATGAGCGTTCACCCGTGGAGCAGCTCTTTTGGAACCCTCCTGAGAACAATTCTCTGCTTTCTGTGGCCATCATTCTTCATGTCTTGCTCACAGAAGCTAATGTGGGTATAGCACAGTGAGTACTGCAGCCTTCATTCATCCCAAAGGCAATCATCTCTGTATTCTCTTTGAGTAAATCTCCAGGGATGCGTAAGTTCACCATAATTTACATTTTACTTGAACAGCATCCCTGTAGGGTTATTGGAACTGCATATTACATTATTTGAGTCATCCTAGCTCTAGCTGAAGGCCACAAAACTCAGAAGGTTGCTTGATACGAGCTCTTGGCCTTCCTGCCTTGTGTCAAATTTTGCTGTTAAATATATCAATGTAGAATGACTTTTGTCAACAAGTGAATTACACTCCTCTTACTAAGATCTAACAAAGAACAGGAATTGACCTATACATTTTATTGTCATGCCCTCCAGGTATAAGACCTTTTGAACAGGAAAATTCATGCATGTGGAGCAGTTTTTATTTGTTTATTTGTTTTTATTTTCAGTGTGAGTACCCATGCTGCACTGAGTTGATTTGAACATATGACTGCAGGATATTTTTTCATATCATGCAAGTCAACAGGGATCCTGGAGTAAATTCAACTGTAACAAGACCAAGTTTTGAAGAATGCCACTATCCAGGTAAGGTGACTGAAGAAAGACATGTTTATACAGCCAAAAGCAACCAGTGCGACTTATGAGTCTGCATTCTGAATGCTCACTCTGCCCCCTCTGATAACAAATACCACTGGTAGAAATCAACCTAGATATTTTTTACCCTGAAAAAAAATCAGTGGGAAAATCATAAGCCTGCTGACAGGCTGTCTGTAAAGAATGAGAATGGTGAAGTGCATCATATTAATTATTCGGTATAAACTGTTCACCCTGCTCTTCCAGCAGGCACCATCTTCTACTCTTTTTTTTTTTTTTTTTTTTTTTTTGCTCTGCCTTCATCTGCCTGAAGTCCTGACTGCACAGTGTTGCAACTGACACCACTGAAACCTTTTCCAGCCACCTCTGCTTATTGCATTCATGGCTTAGTATTCAGCATACTCATAGTTCAGCAATTTTTATGCTTATCTGGTGTCTACATAGGCAAGATGCTGAGAAATGTGGAAGACAGAAGAGCACAACCACAGGAGGGAGGGGGAGAGGTAGTGCAAGGGTCAGGATCACCTTTAGGTCTGCAAAACCTGTAGCAAGATGCAGCAGGCAAAGAATGATGGAGCCTGAGCAAGCAGTCCATTTAAACTCATACATGTGTTCCAAGAACTTCAGGAGAGTAACTTGATGATGGTTTTTTTTCATACAGTTAAGGATGTATTGGGTTCTTAAACCTCTGTATAACCCAATAAAGAAAAAAAAATCAAGAGCTTTGATAAATTGCCTGCATTAGAAGAAATCCTGCAACCTAGCTGTTCAAAAAGCTCTTAGCAGTGGCTGATGATTATATTTTGTAAGTGTTCCCTAAAGGCCGTTATTCATCAGCAGAGAGGTCACCACAGGCAGATGAGAGACTTGCAGCATGGAGATGTATTTCTGAAAAATCTTGCATGATCATTTCTCCCCTTGAAGAGTTAATATAACTAAGCAAGTCATCTCTCTGTTGCTGTGTGTCTTTGCCTCCTTGCCCTTCTCAGCCACACACAGCATGGAACGATATATGAGTTGACAGCAGACGTAGATGGATGTCTGTTCAGTACCATCGTTTGAATGAGCCACTCTGGCCATAAGACTTCTGTTCATCTGCCAGTCACAGACACTGTAAGTATAGATACTCCCATGCTTTTACTGTGCTTTATGCTGCAATTTCGTGGCCTGTGGTTAGAAATGATTGCTGTGTGCTGAACAAAGTCCTGCTTCCAAGTTGCTAGTTGTATCAGGTGTATTTAAAATTACTAAAAGCTGTCTGTTGTGGGTTGGGGGGGGGGGGGTTATGGTTGCTTGGGATTTTTTGGTTTGGGTTTTTTTTTTTTTGGAGGGGGATGTCTTGGGGGGGTAGGTTTTTGGGGGGGACTGCTTTTTTTGTTGTTTTTTTTTTTTATTTTAGGGGTTCTAAATCTTTCAATAAAAATAGCAGTCATAAAGTGGTCATATTGATTTCTCAAGCGATACCACACTTTCACAAAGGGATTTCTCAGACTATTTCCCTGTTTCCAGGCAACCTTGCTGAGGAGAAAGATAAATTAAACATTGTGCTAACAGATTGACATACAACTTTGACAGCTATTTTTAAAAAATATAAATCTAAATTACTGCACACAACAGCTTCATTCAAAATCATGATCATGGCTACTATAATACCTCTAATTTATTTCTTTTCACTTTTGCCTGAGACACACAATCCACAAAAAGCAGTCCAGAACTATAATTATTGTCATGGTGATATGGGCAGGCATGGTGCTTGTTAAAAAACATCCCGATAGCTCCTTTCTCAAGATGCTGATAACATGAACTATAAAGAAAAATTGATTGTACAAGTATAGACAAGTGAAAGCATGAGTGGATTCAGTCTGGAGAGCACAGAAATGCTGAAACTCAGTTCTTTTCCTCTTCTACAGACACTTTGGAGCTCAACATCTATACAAGTGTGATCAGTCATAGATGGAGACAGGGGAACAGCTATGAACTGAGGGTCTAGATCAAACAAAAGCCCCTCCAACACAGAAGGAACAAACATTAGTAGGTGGTTCACTACACCCACATGGTTCTGTTCCCTAGGAAGCACTCTTTCCTTCTTCTTGGACCAAACTGTTTCCTTCTGTCTGCTGGCTTCTTCCCCTTGATTTTTTGCTGCCACAGCTTGCCAAATATTTCTCTAATGCCTGTTTGCAACGAGAAAATCCTTCTGCCTGTTGCCTTAGATGGTGGTCCTATTGTTTTAGCTCTGTCCCTCTCATTGTGTAAAGTCCTGTAATTGTTCTTTTTGCTGAACTGGAAATATGAATGCTTAACATATGCTGAAACCACATCTGTGATTATGAGCTGACATCACTCATTCTTAACACTGGCCAGAATCACAAAATATTTTGGGTTGGAAGGGACAGTCAAAGATCATCTAGTCCAATCCCCCATAATGAGCAGGGACATCCCCACCTATATCAGATTACAAGAGGATATGCTTTTACTTCAGACATGAAGAGAAAATGTTCGTGGGTAACTGAGTGGGAGCCCAGTCAGCTAGCACCATTTCCTGACTTGTCTGAGAACCAAGACAGGGCAAAACAGGGATCAGAAACCCTAGCTGAGGCTAGGCTTCTCCCAGTGTTGGTACAACTAGAGCATTCTCTCAAACAAAAGTGTTAGCTAATAAAGTGTACTGGGCTATATTAAAAGTATAATAACGAAACACAGTATTTTATTCTGATGAATACTTGATCTAAAAGATAATGTAAAATACTGTATTTTGCACTTGAGTGCTTGTCTTCAGCTCAAGCAGTTCAGCACAGGTGATTAGCACCAAAACCAGTGAATCTGATTGTGTTCCTTCCGCAAAATTCCCATGAAGTAAATCCTGTGCGACTTAATTAGCATCCAGTGAAATTTTATATCTCCTCTACCCTGATTTGCATAAATTCTAGCTAAACAACGGTAAGATAATTACTGAATACAAATGAGCTAATAAGGGTACTGCTTGGGAGCAGATGTCAGTGAAGATAAATACACATCTCTGCTGATCTGTTTCTGGTAATGTCACGACATATTTTCTCCCTCATTCTGGTTTGTTGTGGTCAAATCACTGGACTTTTCAGTATTTTACCTTTTCCTCAGATGTGTTAGCAGAGCTCTGCTTTTGCATATTGAATACCAGTTGTGCCCTATGATACGTATCATGCTTTGGTAGACATTAGCTGCAGGGCCTCCATACTGAATAATATTTCAGAAACTAAGATAATCTCATTCTGAATCACTGCTCTAATCACTGACACTGCATGATAGGAGGGTGTACAGGTGTCCTCTTCCCTCTCCTGTGATTTGACAGTTCACAGCTGTAGGTCCTGACACTTGAGTGGGTGCCTCTAGCTAATGTGCAAGGATACTCCATTCACGAAAGTCCCCCAGCTGGTGGTAATTGAAGCTGCTTCTTGGATCTCATCATTGCTAATGTGTTTTAGCTGAAAATCTGACATGGAGGTTTTTTTCTCCACCTCCTTTTTCTGTGTTTATGAATACTCTGTTCATAGTATCAAAGTGTGGCAACATCTTCATCTTTTTCTTCTTTTTCCCCTCTACCTCATGGAAGCTGATTCAAGGTAATTGCTTCCAAGTAACACAGTGAGTGAGAGAATATCTAATGTGACCATCATTAAAAGGAACATGCTTTTCCTTATTCCAATAGGGAAACACAGAGTTATCTGTTAGCCTTGGAGAATTTAAACCACTTAAAATAAGGGTCAGTTTGGTGAGTATGGAAACAATAATTATTCTACCCTCTCATAAAAGGGGATATACCAGACTGTCGAGTTGGCTTGGTGACTGCATGCTAAGACTTACCATTCTTCACTAATGAAAGCAGAATGGAATTATAAGCCATATGTGGTGGGACGTACTTTGGAAGAGTATTTTCAAAGGACAGGTTACCTAACAAGTCAAGGGAAGCAATATTTTTGGTGCTATTTGATAGTACTGCTCATATAATAATCAGAACGTGAATTCAGGAGTGAGCACTCTTGCTTAAATGGTAAGGGAAGATGAGCATCTGATGTCCATGGGTTATCTGGATGTTTGGCACAGAAAGGGCTTTTGTTAATCATTGCAGATTATTGAATGTCCCTCCTAAAAAGCTGTGCTTTCATGTGAGCATGGAAATATGGGGTAACATATTTATACCTTATAGTAAATCAAAAGCAATTAAAATTCTGTTCTTTTTCAGGTTAAAATAGAAACTGTGAATCTGTTAATTGCTTTAATACTGGGGAAAATATTTTCCATTTTTATGTAAAACTACAGAAGCTTTCCAAAACAATTCAAGGGTGTGACAGTTCTGTTTCAGAACTCATTTTAATTTTCAGAACATAAAAATAACTTGTGAAGAGCTGGAAATACAAAAATGGCTTTGCTACTCAATGCTAGTGCTCCCATGGACAAGAAAAGATGGTCTGCAGCATGCAAAACTTAACCCTAAAACATCAACACAGAAATTGCAAAGGTCACGAGAATTACCTTGCTGGTAATTCTTTTTTCCACATTTGCTATTAACTCTTACAGACAGGTGAGTAGAATCCAAGGCCTCTCTCCCTTCTAAATTTTGGTTTTAGCAAATGTAGCCTCACTTTAGGCCCTATGAAGTCAATCCACAGTTAAATATCTAAATAATAGGCTTAACTTTCCAAGACATGGGTCATTCATGCCTCCTTTTTCATGCCAGTGGAAGACACTCATCTCTTAAATATGAGTCCAAAATATGTGGAAAGTTCAGCAGCTCTGTGATACCCAGGGGAGATGTGATCCAGCTAGGCTGAGCTCTGGATGGAGTCTGTCCCAGTTCTTGAGCAATGCTTGTTTAGACATCCTTCTTTGTTTTGGAAAAGTACAGTTACTATGTTCTAGTGATGCTTCATTTGCTGTGAAGATAGTTGAGGTGGGTCTGTTCAAATAACCATTTTCATGTCTGTAGGAAAACAGGGTTTTGTTCTTCCCCTGCACTCTCTGTCAGGAACAAAAAGGCCAGTGGGTGGCAGAGCAGCACACTGCACGGCTGAGGCAGAAAGTCCCGCATGAAACATGATTCTTAAATGGATGTGTGTGCTTGGGATTCAGATAAAATGGTACTTTGCAATGAGCATCCAGTATGTTTCATCGGTATGCTGAACTTGCTGCCCTATTTTGAAGTAAGCTAACATTTTTTAAATGAAACTAATGGTTTTAAAATAATTCCTTCCTTGTCTTACCTGCTTAATGAGACAAAAAGATGATAGGCATAATAGGAGGTTGTCTGAGAATCTAAGGCGGGAAAACACTGTAAAATACGGTTTAGGCTATATCTTCTGAGTTGTTGTACACGACATAGTGTGAAGCCCTTCACCAGGAGACTATGTAACCAACCAGCATTGTGTTTCTGTGCTGAGCAGAGGGGATTGAAGGTTTTCACAGATGTTTTCTGTCACTGGAGCATTAGATTTGAAAAATTCAATTTTTGTTTAAGCACTGAAAATACTAGGTTTTAGACACTCTCATCCATATACCTGCAGGAGAGTTATTTTTAGTGGAAATCCATATTTTCATTGGTACAAAAAAATCCCTGCTCTAGTTTTGAACCTTAAAATAAAAGAAATTCTTTCATATCTTTACCACATGCAGCTGACTTTCTGCACCTCCCAGTTTCTCTGGAAAATATTAGCTTGATTCATAGTCTCTGTCTTTTTCTTTCATTTTCTTAAAGACTTTAAAGGTGTTCTTCCTTAAGGTGTTCTTCTTTATCCTGAAATATGTGGTATCTGGCAAAGTGCTTTAGTAGCAGAGAGGAAATAGTTGAAAAGAAACACTGAACTGGATGTGTGTAACAGTCTACAATGCTTTTTAATGGAGTGAGAAAAAGCACCTTGTATTTCCACAAATGAAAAAATATCAATTAACTTAGAAGTCTTTTCTGTTTTGGAGGGGAATCTTTTGAAGGGAAATCAGGAAGGAACAGAGCTACATTTCTGTTGGGTGAAGCTCTGACATTGACATGTACTCTTCAAAAATGCCTTCACAAGATGTTTCTGTGCAAAAATGCCCATGAAAAACAGCATCGTTACCTTACACTAGCCCTGTAGACAATTGCAGTATACAAGCTGCAGCCCTCAAAGCAAGACTGCTCAGATGTAAGTGGAAAATGCTACAGGAATTCCATTTGTCAAAGTAAGCCATCAGTGAAAACACGGTTTAATAAAACAATTTCAGTAACTGCAATTCATAGAATAGTAATTAAGTAAAAGACTTTTATCTAAGGTTCATTTCTCAAGGTTGTTTCAGAAGGTATTAAACAAGGTTACTTGTTTTTTCTCTTCCAGTGTTGGAACATGTGCATTTCCAGTAATCTATGCATTGAGAAGTCCACTTAAGCTGTGCCATGCAAGTATCTATGCCATATACTTAGGTCAAACAGTAACAGGAACTTACAGTTTCACTGAAGTTCTGAAGAATCATCATGAAATCTGGAAACTGATTTTCCCTGGTTTTGATATAAACAAAACTATATATCAGAAAGGAATCAGCAAAATCATAAGAAAAACAAAAGCTTATAAAACCCCTAGAGATAAGAGAAATGTGTATATGTAACATCACATATTCTATCATATTATATTAATTACCTGAAAGTAAATTGGATCATATTAACTTGCCAGCTGCCTACAGTTAGAAATGCAATGACTCAACACAGTGATCGCTCTGAAAGCAGAATCACGATGGGAGATCCTGTACAGAGTAATACATATTAATGCCAAAAAAGGGGGACAGTTTAGAAAACATGCTCTGATGTTCTTGTCTGGGCAGAAGCCTCATTATCATTCTGACTAACAAATCAAGTGTACTAAGGCATAGCTGATTCATTTCTAGGGGAAGGTTTCTTAGAGATCCTTGCAGCAAAGTTGGTATTTTTAAACCAAAAATTCCAAAGTTTGCGTAGTTACAGCTGAACACAGCTAACTAAGCCAGTAACCTGGATCTTACTTGCCAAAATTGCCATGCTTTTCATTCTAAAGAAGTTTCAGTTAACAAAGCAAGACTTTGACCTTTGATGTTTCACTTACATTAAAGAATCCTCAAAGCCCTGTAAGGAGGGAGACACAATTTATTGGTTAAAAACCTACATGATCTGATCTGCAGTTCAGCTAAAGATTTTATGCCACCCACTTTCACAGTGTAACAGCACCATTAGCATACCTTACAATTAGGCACAGAAAGAAAGACTATAACATGAAGCCAGAGAAAACAACAATGCTATCTAAAATATACATTTAATGAGGAGCACAAGCCCTTTGAAGAT